CACGAGCCATTCGGGCTGTGATCCAGTGTTGAACAGCAAACACTACCAGCCCCTTCAGAGAAAGGCAGAGCTGGCCAGAGTAGCATAATAGCAATTCCTCCATCAGGGAGATCCCTAATGCCTTAAAAACATGGCAAATCCTAATTCATAAGGTTTCATCCATTTTCCAAATGATTTCTAGTTATTGCTGGAAACTATTTCAAATAAATGAATGTACAGAAGGGGCTTATGAAGCCAAATATTTCCATGGTCAGCCTTCTTTAGTTACAACCCTCATATCACAGACCAGCAACAATAAATTCTTTACAGTCCCTTTCCCTTCTTTTTTGGTAACAGCAATTGCATCAGCTGAAAAACACTTGTCTTACCAACACATTCTCCATCCTTAAGTTCATAACCTGGCTGACAGCTCAGCTCCTGGAGACATTTGAATGATCCCATCGTGTTGACGCAGTGCTCTCTCCGCTGGCAGGTGTGCTTATCTGTTACGCATTCATTAATGTCTACAAGAAATAGTTAAATAATTCAGTGCCTCATATTTATCAAGTGATCTGCCTCTTCCTGCTCTTTTGGAAGGAATCAAAAGCTGAAGTGAAACCATTTTTTTTCCAAAGCTAGTCAATATAGACTTTGCTACAGTGTTCCGATGACAGACGTTTTATTCCAGGATCTTTTGTTAAGAGTCACTCAAGAGACACAAATCACAGGGAGATCTCCTTCTCCTCCCCTCTTCCCAAACATGCGGTGGATGGTGCAGGACCTGAGGACAAGGGACAGACAGAACTGACTAAAGGCAGAGTGGGCAGAGGACTGATAATCAGCTGGTTTACTGGATAGAAACCTCCTGGACAACTGAAGAAGAAAGTGATTAATGCTTATTGCTCATTAACAGCTGAGGCTATGTATCAGCCCTGCTGCTTCATGCCAGGTAGGCAGGAGCTGCTGTATGGAGCTGCTGCAAGAGCTAGGTGCTGAGGCTGCCTGCCGCGCTGCAGGAGTCGTGCAGCGTACTCATTTTGTAAGCAGTGAGTCGTCAGAGCTGGATACAGAAGCAAATATGGAGAGAGGAATCCTGAAGGCTCAATCAAGTTTGCAAATTTGTACTGAAATCTTGAAAGAGATCTGATTGCAGCAGGTGGAGTAGCAGAGAAGTTCTTTTAAAAAAAGTCACGTAAATATCAGATTGGGGAACGTAGGGCACAATTTGGAAAGGAATACACACCACCTTTAAAATGATACATTTTGACAGGCTTGGATGGAATAATCTCAAATTCAGATTTTGCTCATTTTAATAATGAACACTAGAAATAGCACGATGAGCAAATACTTACAAGCAACAAAATGGGGTAGAGACTGGGAGGAGAAACTTTCTTGCCATTCTCCACAAAAATCTTACACGTTCACAGTTCTATATAAAGATGAGAAGTATTTCTAGAGCTAACAAAAGCCAAATGTGACCAGAAATATTAGCAATCATCCAGCTTCTCTGCACAATGAAGCTCTTTTCATACTACACAATAAAGCAAGTATTGTTTAAATAAGGTTTTCACTTTGGCTGTAGAACCTCATTCCCAGATAAGTATAACATCAGATAAATTACTTCCCCTGGTGGAGCAAGAAAACAGAAAAAGCCACTTTAAAAGCCTGTTGTCTTAGACAATGCGTCAGCTTGCTTTCTACCAGATGAAGAGGGGCACCAAGAAATTTCCCTTCCTTCTGTCAGCTACCTGGTGACACGCACTGAGCTTTTCGAGACCAGTATGTCAGCTTGGTGCCACGTCACTATGCATTTATTCGCATTTTGTTTTTGTTTGGCATTGCTATTCTTCACATGCTGTGTACTTGCTTTCCAAAGCCAGCTGATCAACCCACAGCAAGGTCGCTGCTGCCAGCTGGGTATCTTCCTGCCTGTCCTACATGATGCTTGAGGACTTCTACTGAGTGGCAGGTACTTACCTACCCCAAAGCTTTTACACGGTTCTGTCCTCCTAATGCTTGCAGCTTCCCAGTTTCTATACATTAGTCTGAGGTGTAAGCAGCAATAGTCTCACTTGGCGAAAAAAAGCACACCCAAACCAAAAAACTCCCCAACCCCTCACACGCTGGGAGAAGAATATGAGCCGCTGTGGTAGACCTCTCCCACCTAACTGGACTTAGGTCTGAAATAAATTTGAGATTTTTCATTCTAATTTTAGAGAAAAACGGCTATGGATAGCCACTTAACAGCTTCCAAACCAGGGTAAGGCTTCCTACTAGCTACACAACAGATTTGAGATTATCCTTTCTTGCAAACCACAAAAAGCCTTCTCCTATAGACAATCTGTCAGCACTACACTGCATCCTATGAACTTAAGTCAAGTCAGCATGGTGTCAAAAGAGCCACCAGGAGGAAAGTGTCTTTGTCTGAAATATTACACAGTAGTATTCCAGGAAGTACTCCACCTGGTTAGCAGGCGTAAACAGGTAAAAAGACGGTTAAGATTTCACAAGAGAAAAAAAGATCTCATATAATTTTGTGTTTTATCCATACTATTTGATTCAGTTTTCAAGTTTCTGAGTACTTGAGAAAATAAGTAGAACTGGTCAGAACACATTTGAGCAAACTGTAACAATGGAAACGGGAAGATTACATGCAGAATTTTTGATTTCAATGAAAGTTTTGTGCACAAGCGATACACTGACAATCTCTAAGCATAATGACTGCGATCTGGGCTGAGATGCAAGGCTTAAACTATGAGCTGTGCAGTGTGCAAGGCTCTGCTCTGTCCTATCCAGTGTCGGGGCACAAATCTCCTTCTCTGGCATCAGGCCAGCTGCCAGTCCACCAAAGTTCTCTTTTCATGTTATTAAATAGACATGCCCTCGTTTGTTCATTTTTCTGAGCAAATTCCCAAGTGGTCATGCCACGAAATGAGATCCCAGAAGACGTGCAGCATCCTTCTCCTGAGTTCCCACCTGTCTGTGTTATCGCTCTCACTATCAACGCCTACACCACCAACCAGCATCCCTTAGCGTAAGAGTGAGGGTAGGAAAAGGCACCTTTGGGAATATGGTCCCAGCTTGTGCCGGGGCAGCACAGGAGTCACTGTGCTAGCTCTGTTCAGCCCAGGCTGTACCTGATATCATTTTGGCACAAGGCAGAGGGGAGTGAGGACTGAATCAATTTTTATTAAACAGGACATTATCTCTCTCCTTTTGTCCTTCCTTTCCTTTCCCATAAAATCCAGAGTGCCCATAACCAGTCTCTCTTCAGTACTGGAAACCCACTCAACAAGTCAGGAAGATGCTTGACAGACGCCTGGGAAAAATATGAGTTATGTTTTCAGTTTGAAACAAAGTTAATTCCCAGCATTGGACCAGCTGTAGTCTTCATCCAACACAATTAAGACTGTGAGGTAGAGCATGATTATATTTATCAAAAAAAAAAGGGGGGGGAATAAGAGAAAAAATAATTCAGTAATATACTAAAAACAGGTCACACAGTTAATTTTTGAGAACTCTACCAAGGTCTATGTGTGTGGCAATGACATTCCTCACTTTATGTCAGTAAAAACCAGAATGAAATGTAATCATGTAATATCTCTTTTTTTTTCCCTGGAATTGCTGTTGAAAACAGCAACATATACATGGTCCCCTGAGCACATCTGTTGCATCGAAGAAGCTGACATTTTTGCAAAGGAATATCAACATTTACCTACTGTTATTCTTTTCAACATGTTTTTTGACATTAAAAATTAATTTTTTTGCACATTCTGTAAAAATGGGAAATGCAGACTCTTTTTGTCCTGCATCTGCAGTTTCTCACGGCTTTTTTTCTCTTCAAATTACTCCAGCTCCATTTGTTATATGGAATACATCTGTTTTATTTAGACCCGCTGTTATTTCGCAACCACCCATCCTGTGCTCGCGCACAGTCCCTAAGGTTCAGCAATCAGTGACCACTTACTGCTCACTCAGGCAGGAGGGAAAATTGAGATGGGAGAAGCAAAGAAAGTAGCAAAGTAGACTCTCATCAGCGTGCATGCGGGTGGTGGTAACGACTTTGCCTGAAAGTCACCAGGAAAAGCAATCCACGTTAAAAACATCCAACCTGGCTCTTATCTCTGGAGAACATAGAGCTTTCAAGCCTAAAGACATTTTAATATCTATTCCCAAGGTTACACAAAGCTGGGGTGTGCAAGCTATTTAAATAGCTGGTGACTCCTCATTGTGCATGGTTGGCTTCCAGGAATTCTGGATAGCTGCTTCGAATGCACCTGGAATTCTAATCTTCCACAGTTTGACTAAAGGAAATTCAACAGATACAAGGTTTTATCAGCTGTTTTGTGCTGTGTAAAGATTGTTCCTTTTGTCCCTAAAATACGCAAAGAGTGACATCATTAAATCAACAAGAATTTGCAAACAAATTACCAAAGCTTTGCTCAAGGTGTTTGAGATAGCTCAGGACAGACACAAAAGCAGTGATATACCTTAGGTGAATACGGCTGCAACGAGGCAGTTCAACAAAACAGACACCACAGTGTGCTTGTGGCTTTTCCCCCTGACTAGAGAAGCAGGAAAAATGTTAAATACAGCAAACGTCCTCCAGGCACCACACACAGCAAAGCTTTACGTGAGTAGGAAGCACACAGGGTTATCTATCCAAAAAGAGAGAGAAACTTCAAAGTTTTCTGGATTATTTACAAGGAAACCTGTAAAAACCTGACTTGCATTAGAGAAACACAGATGTTTGTTATTTAGTGAGGGAGAAGAGGACCTTTTAGCTTTACAAATGAGAGTTCTATCTTTCACTTTATTAGTGATGCCTGAGGTTTATCTACATCAGTCACAATAAAACCCTGTTCTAATGTCATGGGGGAGAGGACAGGAGAGGAAGAAAGTGAATCAAAGGAAGCACTTGGCATCTTCCATAGCACCTTCTGCCAAAGTTGCTGACAAACACGCATTGATTCCGTTTCACAACGCTCCTGGGAGATGTAGAGAAGGACAGATACATGCCTGCTGCATAGTCTCTGACAACATCTGTGGATTAAATGACAAGATCTTCAGAAGCAGAAAGCAAGGTGAGGCAGTTCCTTCAGCTGCTTGCTTACCAGACCTTCTACTCAGAAGCGTGGTCCATGCAGCAGGCTCTGTGAAAGCCGTGAAACACACCACACAGACTGTGGCGACCTACAAACACCACCTTCCATCTCACATTCTGATATCTTCTCTGTAAAGGCATCCTTCCTTCCTGTAGTGTTCTCTCAGGCATTTAATTTACAGTAAATAATCTCACTAGTTTTCCATGCTTACCAGTATCTCTGATTTCAAAATTAATATTTATTTTTTTAAATGCAGTTTTGAGACTTTTTTTTCTGGGAAAACCCAGAAGACAGTAAATCACATCTCTGCTCTAAACTATGATACTGTGTAAACTTTCCTGCTCATGCCCTCGTGCCATCTGATATTCATTAATCAGATGAATCACAGAGCGTTAAAAGATAGGAACAAAACCAAAGCTGTGATGGTCAGAAAAACAACGTTACAAATGTAGGGAGAAGGACAGGGGTGGAAGAAGGCAAACGTATTCCCACGTGACATTCCAGTCCCAGGCACCACTACGTTTATCGATGGCTGGAGGCCTCCAGGTGCTCCGCTTTTTCAGGCGTTACCACACGCTGCTGAGGCTCAGGTGCCTCCTGAAGCAGCCTCTAGAAAAGTTCCCCAAACAGAAACTGTGTCATAAGCTCAGGCCTTGGCTTTTTGAAGCAGATTAAATCCTCATAAATTCACTTGTAAAAATAGATTGTAAAACCAGATTTGTTTCTTACGTGAACTTAAATAGCAGGGATGATACAGCAGAATTATGGTGCACGTTTGACTTTTGCACAAAGAAATTTGTGCCAGAATCAACAAAGGACTAATCTGAATTTTAAAATTCCATCACTTTGGAATGGATCTGTTCCATTGCCTGTACTTACGCAGATTTCTTGAGCTGTATTTATGAAGTTTTGCTGTTTCATGTTGTCTGGGGGATTTGGTAGTATTGACGCTATCCAGAGAGATCAACTGCTATGTTTTCTTAGTCCAGTTGAATAGTCAGCAGTACTGCTGTGGTCATCATACCTATGAACTTTTATGACTTTTGAGCAGTTATATGTATCCTGAGAGCCTATTGCTAGGGAAAAAGCCAAATAGCATATTACTCACGATGTTAAGTGGCTGAGCAAATGGTGCACATGTGTTTTTACTAACTCGTATTGAAATGTCATATGCAAAGATGGCCAGAGAGCCTTCTAGCACAAATGGTTTAAATGCATTCGCAGAGCATGAAGAATTATGATGCTGTGGTGAATGGCTTATACCTATCATCTTACCAACACATTTTCTATGACTGTTGAGTATAAAGCCCTCTGCAAAGATCACTCTGTGGCTGACACAGTAGAATGATCCCAATGTGTTCACACATAATTGTCCTCTGGAACAAGCGGGAGCACCTGTGAGGCACTCATCCGAATCTGTATCAACATGTTGCAACCAAAAGGGAAAACCAGAATTCTATTAGAACAATTTCTGAAATGAAACAACACTTCTTTCACGCTGGAGATGTCTAAATGAAGTGTGTGGGAGCTACCACATCAGCACCATGCTATAATATATATAGTGATACACTGGAAATGGGGCTGGAATAAACTCTCAGAGATCATCTAGCCCTTGCTCGCACCCGTACACTTCTGTCATTCCAGAAAGAGCCATTCTTAAAACCAGGCACTAACACAGACGCAACGCACACTCTTTGCAGGAAGCCTGTTCCAGTGCACCACTATCCCTGCTGTCAAATACTTACTTTAATACAGATTATAAATGTTCCTTGCCAGAATTTAAACTCACTACTTCCACTGACATTTCTGAATTTTTTCTCCTCCTGTAGGAAAACGATTGCCTTGAAATGCCCCTTTTGATTCTGACATTAATTAATCAGATTAGTTCCACCACACTTGAGTAAGCGATGCACAGTGAATATTTTATCTGGTGATAATAAATTCCCATTTACTTCATAGACTATCTGGAATTTCATGAAAATGATTTGTTATTCAATAAGATCTGAGATTGAGAGGGACGTGGATCACTTGTGAGCAATTCTGAGCATCAGAAGCTTCCACTGGCATTTCACTGCTGGCCGTTATTGCTCCCATACTTAGAGATTTATAACTCAGGTATGCCACGGGGCACTGCTCCTGAAGCCTAAATCTTTCCTGGGCAAACATATCTTTTGACAATACCCAAACAAGTCCGTTTAGAATTTATATAATGTGGACGCTCACGATGTAGCTTTGGAATTCGCTGTTCATCATTGTGCAGGTCTGAGCTTCTGCGCCAAATGACACACACGGAGCTGGACCAGCTCACAATGGCAGTGAAGCCTCACTGAATTCAGGTTTTCAAGGCAAGCAGAAATGAAAACAAACAAACAGGTGAGAGGGCAGAGCTGTAGCTCTGAGGGGGTTCCTCAGGACACCAAACGTGCCCACATCCTGCTAGCTGCTCCTGTTCTCAGGAAGAAAAGCTGCATGTCCATAGCTGTGTCGATAGACCCTGGGGAGGAACAGTAGTGGGAAGAAAAATTGAGAGGGCTGAAAAAAAATCCTGGAACTTCAGAGGAAAAGAGCACAAATCCAGGCTTGCCTTCACCTGAAGTCCCCAGGTAAGAGGCACACTAGGATAGACATGCTTCAGGAGTTCTCGGTGGAGCAGATGTGGCACTCCTCCTGACAAATGGTCTCTGTACTGCCACTTGCCATTCATAATACCGAAAATAAGGAACCCTTAGAGAAACACCTAGGGGTATGAGACCAATGAGATCTATATAAAAGTGTTTTAACCCTCCTCTGTGGTGAATCTGAACCACTTACCTTCACAAGAAATCCCATCAGCCATGATAGTATATCCAGACAAACAAGAGCATACGACATTGCCTTCCACAACGCTGCAGATGTGCTTGCAGGGGCCATTATCTACACAAAGCAAAATTGCAAAATACATTAGCATTCACAACACAGAGCAGCTGGAGTTACAAACCCCCAGGTCATGCAAATGTAATCCCAGCTTAGGCAATGGGGAATGCAGTTTGTAAACAATCTGTCCAGGTAGCACTAACCACTAATTACAACCCTCCTATTACGCAGAAACACATCTGTGCCACTCTTACCTGTACTGTTCACACTGTGGTGCACAGCTGCACCGGTTACCTTCAACTAAACAGCAGGTGTGTAATAGCCCTAAAATCAGAGTATAGCCTCCTCAGGTTTCCCCTGACAATTCCTCAGCCGTATGCCAGAGGTAACAAATTAAGGATGTGCATTGAAATCAGATTGGTGAAGGGATATGCAGAATTTTATTTTGGCTCTTTAAACATTCCTCACTCGTCTGCATCTGCAGTTTACACCTCCAACATACCTTTACACTTATCCTGCTCTTCTTCTAAGGACATGATGAGAAGAGGCTGAGAAGGAGAGGCTGCTGGAGGGACGGTGACTTCTGCTTCTAGCCTTGTCACCTGTCCTCTGTCAGGATCTGTAAGGCAAGGGAGGCAGAGAAAGATCAGTGACAACACCACCTCCACCAGGCACCGTGGCAAGGGTCCTGGTCCCATTCATCGTGCTCCATCATGGTTTGTAGGAGGAAAAATTTTCGTGACCTGGACAACTGTCTATGCATGGAGGTGAACAGTCAGTTCTGGAAGCTGCCATGTGTTTGGTATGAAATATATACAGATCAGGGAGCCTGGCTGGAAGCAGCTTCTGCAGAGTACAATATTGCAACACCTAATGAATCAAACAGAAAGTGTTAATTTTATTTTTTAAAATGCTGCTATATTGTCAAGACAGTGGCTGTCTTTCATGCGATACATGATGAAAAAAAAGCTGAACTCAAAACAAGTCTTTAAACTTACTCTGTACATCCTATTTCAACATAGACGAAAAGCAGACGCTCACCTTTACAAGCGCAGGATACTCTGCAATGACTTTTACACAGCCAAGTAGAAAACATGACAGCTGCTATCTGTCATTAAGATTTTCAACAAACAGTAATGTTAAAGTATCAGAATAGTTTAAAAAAAAGCCCAAACCTCTGTTATGTCAATAAGAGTAATCCAGTTTATCAATATCACCAAAATGGAAGCCTAAATCCATACGGCTAAATTCTTCCTCAAGAGGGATGTGTCCTGTTCCCATTGATGTGAGTTCAAGCATCACCTGGAGCAAAGTGTGAGCCACCAAACAGTGACAATATTACATGACTAAGTGTAACTGCAATATAGGTTTGGGCTATGGGAAGAGTGATTTCACTAAAAAAAAAAAAAAAATTCAACAATCACAGCCACACAATGGGCTATAACACAGAGGCATATAAAAGTCACGTGCTTGTGGCATATCCTGGATGATTTCCCCAGAAAGAGAGCAGAGAAGCAAGACAAAGCTTTTGAAGCTTCATCAATGCACACTTTCTCCTTGCCTCCCAGAGCCTCTGCAAGAACTTCTTCCAAAGCTCGTGAAAAAGTGTGACGTTTTAAAAAACAAAAGTTAAATATAAAAACATTCATGGTCCAGGCAAAGAGCAGGAAATGTCCTGGGACAAGTACAAATACAAAAGCATTATATCTAATCACAGGAGTAAAAATTACCAACAGGTTGAGATCTAAAACTGTCTGGGTGGGTCTCTGTGCACAGACCACGACAGAGATGTGCACATACACAGAGGTAAAATGAGAAATAAAAGGCCACTGTGCCACGTTGCCAGGCAGAGCACATATGGTTGAGTCAAGCAGAGTGCGTGAGGTGCCCTGACCTGCCACCTCCCTCGCCCAGACTTTCCTTTCAGCTGAGACTCCACAGTGACGGTAGCAGCCCCTCACTCTTCCCATGTGTCTCAGATGTCTCACTCGCAGTCCCCTACCCTCATCACAATCCTCCACCTCAGCTGAGCTCTGGAAATCCCTCTACACCTCTTGGCACAGCCATAGGCACTGCAGTCTCTCAGACCTGCCCAGATACAAGATGTATTAACCCAAATCTGTGCTTCAGCAGAGTTAGGAATGGGAGAAGCAAAGCAAACCAAAACAAAAACACACATATGCTCCAGGTGAGCGATCAAGCCAAATTTTGCAGTGCTGAAATAAGAACCCTTTTCTTTACCTCTTTTGGATTAGGCTCCTTCCCCAGAATTTTAATAGAAACAACAGAGCAGACAGCTGCCGCAGAACCACTGTCAAACACATTATTGATGTAAGCGCTGTAACATCACGTTGAGAAGAATGACATAATGAATGCTCATTGTTTGGCTTGGGGAGAAAGTATTTGAAGCCTAAGGAATTTTGTCATTGGATGGCAACACTCATTTTGCTTGTTAAATAACTGAGAGCACTTGTAACTCATATAAGGTTTCAACTTCTTGGGTTATCTGATTTGAAACCTTGCCATTGCAGAACTCCAGACATCAAAACAATTACAACACAATAGACTTTCTTTTCAAGACTTCCACCACACTAGATATATTTAGATTTTGTGTCACTGAAATATGTTAACGATTTTAGATAAAAATCAAAGTTCAGGAAGTAATGCTGTCTGTCTGAACTGAGTAGAGTTTATCTAAAAGAAAAAAGTGAAATACAAAATTACTCCAAGAAGAAAAGGTATTTTATTAACAATCTTTACTAATCCTCTTCTGAAAAATGAAAACAGGCTTGATTTGAACGTGTTAAATACCACCCTGATCTCATGGCACCAATCCACAAAAATGAGCCATATTTAAGTTTCCTAAAGGGTTGTTTTCCTTTACATTACAACCTGTCCAATTTCCATGGAAAATATCCATGCATCAGTACCTATAAACACTACAGAGAAACTAAAGCAAAGCTTGGTAGATCAATGCAGGCGGGACAAAGACACCATCATTCCTGGTGTTCCCTGTCCATTTTCTCACCTGGAGAGCAGCTGGTCCCATCATCTTGCAAAGTGAATTCTGGAAAACACGAACACTTGTAGGACCCCACGGTGTTTATACACAAATGCTGACAGAGTTCCCCACCGTAGATAAGACATTCGTCCAGGTCATCTCCAGGCAGGCTATTTGAGAGTTCAGCTTCATTACTGATGGACAAAGCTTCATTGTGATCTTCTGTCTCTGAAACTACAACAGAACAACACTTTCAGGGTCTCTAACAGGTTTTTTTGGGATTAGGGCAGTACTGTATGGAGTGTTTGGTCACATAAACTCCAGATACAGTCACATCTACCCAAAACGGTTACTCCACAGGCAAGAGAAAATGAACCCACTCTGAAGACACGGCCATCGCACTGAAGAGCCACTACCTCCTTCCACAGGGCTGGAGGGAGAGATGTTCTACAGGAGCCACTAAGGAAATGGGTGACCTGGGAGGTCACAAGCTCACCTTTCACACTGACTACTAACGCCACTTCTATTGTTATTTGAACTAAGGCATCACATCAAAGCCCCATCTGAAATTGGCCCCACTGAAGAGCCACACTGAATTGCTAATTTCAGAAGTTACCCAGTTAGTTTGGAAACTCTTTTCAACACTACTACTAATTTATTAGCTACTTCTGCAGCTAGCGTTACAAATATTCTGGGACCCACTTAACAGTGACATGGCTATCCTACCTGCTGCTTTTATACACTGGCAAAAGCACTGTCCTCTCCATTTCCTGAACAAGTTCGACAAGACTTTCTGCCATTCTAAAATGAATTGTTCAGTGAGTTTCTCAGTCAGCTTTTCCTTAAACACATCCATGCAAACTTCCTCACTCAGTCAGGTCTCAAATAGGATGAAGTAAGCCCTTACATTTGTTGGCGAGAGAAAACACACACCGAGTTCATGAGAAGAGAACGGACAAAAATTGAACCCCAGCATGTGCAGGAGGTTACCGTGCAACTCTCACAGGGCAGGTGGCTACAGAGCGATGCAGGAAGGAACGTGACCTTGGACAGAGGGAGGAAGCATAGCTGTCGAGGCTCCAGATTTGTCATGCTCCTTTTGTCACGCCTCTTACCTGCCAGGATTTGACTCAGCTCTTCAGCATCACTATGTTCATATGTTGAAAGAGTGAAACCAAACTTGCAGCACTCTGGGGGTTCTCCAGCGTGTGCCGTGAGAAAGCTGCTGTGCCATGGAGCAGTACAGTAAGGCATCTACTCCCAGCATGTTTCATTGGTATCATAATCCATGGGACTACTTTGTCTGGAGAAAACTATGGTTTGTTTTATGCAGAATCTTTCAGGAGTGCTTCTGCTAAAAGACAATGACCAGCTTCAACTTTGCTTCTTAGCAAGGGCTAGTAGAAGGTCTCTGTTCTATGTGACTCAGGGGGAAAAACACCAAACAAAAACCCAAAGTACTGAAGAAGGTATGCTTTGAGGCTCAGAAACACCCACATATTGTTTGTTTGTTTGTTTGTTTGTAGGAAAAGGCAGTCTATTCTTGATCCGAGAGGGAAGGCAAGTGTGCTCCTGTAGTGTTATTCCTTCCAACACCTCCCTGTACAACCATGTGAGCCACAGATCTTATCTGCAATGTCTTTAAATCATAAACGGACACTTACCCTTCTCAGGTGTCACTGTTAAAGCCTTTTTATTTCCGGATGGATGAAGTGATCTCCCCCTTCACAGCAGGACAGCATCACATGACTGCAGGGGTAGCCCAGGTTTATGTTGGACTCGCAGGTCTTCCCCTCACTCCTTAATCGCAGGCCCAGGTTACAGCAATCGCAGCATTGCTGCAAAAGGAGGAGACTGTCAGCGACAGGGATTGAGTACAGTCTGCTTACGGGATGAGCCCACACACCTGGAACCGATCTGCACTTTCTGTAACAGTGCAACATCTGGAGAAGGACTTCAGGTTTAGACAGTGCAAACATCAAAGCTTTACTTCTGCTTGTTTTTGCCATCCCTGCACAAACGGGTCAGCTGCAACCAGGCTGAACCTCTCAGTGTGACAATGACTTCAGCAGCTTCGCATGTAAGCAAGCAGCGGCGCTGCAGATCACCTCTTTCCAGCTCCTGCACACAGCCGTTGTTTTGTACATCGTATACTGCAAACAAAATACTACAGATCTGTACCTCTTCACATTAGACCTCCGAAATGGTTAGCTGTTGAAGCAATGTGAAAGGAATTGTCAATATCTTCATGGACATAAGGATCAGCAGCAGCTGCTCTCTGTCAGAGCGCCAGTAAAGACTCTCCACTGTGCATCACTGCCTTGCAAACCCACCGTGACCTTTCATTACCCAACTGTCCTGGACAGCATCCCGCTCAGGTATATTTTATGAGCCACCTGCCTTCCTTGTCTTTCCTGAGTACATCTACGCAGCAGCTTCACTGACAGGCTGATGCAAGGGGCACCCCTGGACCGTAGTCTCTCTCGCGGTCTCCTCTGCTGGGGGTGGCAGACAACAACCGTGTTGTGCTTTACTCAGTCCCATACAAATACAGCGCACAGCCAGGCCGCAAAAACACATCAGATAAATGATATCAAATTCCAAAAGCCCACACTGGGCATGCACAGGGGATACCTCACCAAGCAGGGCAGTTGTCTCTGCTACAGAGCCATGCAGGGCCACATGTGAATTGAAGATGCCTGTCTGGATTTAAGTGTAAGCGTCCTGACATCCCTAATAGATATATATTTAGATGCTTTCTCTGGCTGAATATTGATAAAATATTCAGAGT